GTGTGTGTGTGTGTGTGTGTGTGTGTGTGTGTGTGTGTGTGTGTGTGTGTGTGTGTGTGTGTGTGTGTGTGTGTGTGTACATGTTTAACTGAGCGCTGTGCGGTTTGAGGTGAAGAGAGTGGGTGTGTGAGACCCGGCTGCTCGCTCCATTCATGCACCGGTGGTCGTCGTCAGACAGACCCACTGACGGCAGAAGGAGAGGATTTCAGCCCGGCTCTGTGTGTCTGATGAATGTTGGGCACCAGAACCGGCTGGAGTGGCCACGCTGAGCCGTGACAGCTCCTCTGTGAAGTTGTGGAGGAGTTCCAAACGCGTCCCCAAATGACACACAGGCTTGTCTGTGACACTATCTGTGGAATTAGGTTTTAATTAGCCAATCCTCCTGAAGCCTTGTTTATCCATCCATAATGACTAAGGAAGAGGAAAAAGAATCATGTTGTCCTATCAAATTTCATACTAAGTGCTCAAACGATTCTAGTTGAATCCTTGCATTTAATCCCAGATCATCAGCATCAGAGTTAGCAACAAATAGTTAAGTGTCCAATGAAAGATCAACAATCTGTGTGAGCCTATAGCAGAACTTGATCAGCATCAGAACAGATTAAGCTGTGTTTCTGAGTTGGCAGGTCCATCAGTCTAAAAGTGAACAGCAGCAGAGACATTTTGTCAAGTTCGGTCGACGAGGATGAACCCAGACTGCAGGCAGACACGAAGAGCTAAAGAAAACAAACTACTTGATTGAAACGAACAAAATACAGTATGATTACAACACAAACTTGGATGCAGCACACACAAAGTATGCGGTGACCAAGAGGTGTGACACGAGCCAGAGTAATGATCAACTGATAAATGCAGAATATAAAGAAGAGCCAAATGAACATATTCACAAACACCTGCTGAGGTAACGAACTGGAACATTTGAGAGTGGGCGTGGCAAACTGATTGGGAAAAGAGGGAAGATATGGATGAAAGACCAGAAACCAACCAATGAGAACACAGACCAGAATTCAAACTTAAAAACCAAAAATAAAAAATAAAAAAACACACAAAAAGTGAAGGTCAACACTGAAAAAAAAAATCCAAAATAAACAAGAACTAGACGCACAGATATGACAAATTTTGCCCTTTTGCTACTTCCTTTTCAAACAGTAAGCAGGCCTGAACCCTGTCCAACAACGTGCTTCAGAACAGTTCTATTCATGCACAGGCATAGACTTGATCCTTTTTTTTTTTTTTTGCAATGTGAACAACCAGTTTTGATTGTCACTGTAAACTTGCTGAACCATTATGGAAAGGTATGGCTGAGCTTACCTGCAACTCCTCAGCCTGAAGAAGTCTTTTGGAGAAGGGACAAAACATTTCAAAGAGGAAGAACCCATCTAGAAGACCAGCGTAATTTATTTTAAATATTAAGCTATCGTTTGATAGAAGCTGAGAGTTTTTACAAAACATCTTTCAATACATCTCTCAGGATCTCACAATATAGGAAATTGTGTTTATAACGGTCACTTTTCATCTTTAGATGGCATTAGTTTAAAACTTAGGCATGAACAGCATTGGAGATATGCATTCTTACAGGT